ACAAAAAATGGCAAGATTCAGAGTCAAGAAAGCAACATTTTTCCAAGAAACACTGAGTGAGTGTGTGCGAATGTGCAAAGACCAAAAGCAGTGACAAACTTTGTTAAAACTTCAAATTTGTGGACCTTATGAAGTGTGTGTGCGAGAATCACGAATAAGTGTGTATAGACACAAGTATATATTGACACGGTAACGAATCACAAGCCAATACAATAATAAAGCTTAAGGAATGGCAAAAGTATAAAGAGACGGGAAACTGATTCATAATCAAAGAAGAAACAGAGTACAACCACAACAACAGAATAGTCATAAGGCAAAGAAGGAACATATTCAGACTAGTGGAAAGCTGAAAATAAAGAAATTAAGAACTTACCAAATAGGGTTGACGAACCGTGGTCAGAGTAATGATCGTTGGAGTAAGATGGCAGTAAATGCTGAAGTGGAACAGTGAAAAGAATGCCGGAGGAGATGGTCGGAGAAGTTACAGAAAGCTCGAAGAAGTGGCAATGGTGGTTTGAGGGTTTTTCTTTACTTTAGAGAGATAAAGCTTAAGCAAAAACGAAAGAACGAAAAGTGAAACAACAGAGAGAGAGAGAGAAATTGTTTTTGTTAAAAATTTGAAAGGACGGAAAACTACAATGGAATGCCTTGGACGGCGTGTCTGTTAAGCAGTGTGCGTAGAAACAATGCGACTTGATAGCGCATGTTAGGTACAAACCAATGGGGGAGCGACGCGTGGAGAAAACGGTTAAGTAAGCCGTGTGTGACAGCTCATGCGCAGATAAAACTCTTGAAGTTCTTGATTTAATGAAACAAAAACCTTGGCTACAAGAGAGATCTCGGTTAAGGAACTTGAAGGACTTGGTTCTTGGTTCTTGGTCATTGATAAAGCAGACTACAGAGTCTTGGTCATGTGAAGCCGACGGGTGATGGTCTCGGTCATGAAGGGTAGAGTAAGTTTTAGCCGACCTGTTATGTGGACAAACGATGTAGGTTTCATCACTTTAGAATGCCGAGGTAATAGAACCTAGGGGGCAATTGTGGGGACATATTTTGTGAATGACAACATGTGGCCAAGGTGACACTGAAGTGTCAGCGGAGGTGCCACGTGGCTTGGTCATGTACCGAGATGATCTTGGCTACGTCGAGGTTATCTTCAGAGATATCGGAATTCGAGATGAGCAGATAAATGACAAGAGTCCTAGAATGGGGGAGGACCTTAGTCTGAATAATGATAAATCTCTTAGGGAGTTTATCTTTATCATCCAAGATGAGCATTAAGCAATAGTCCATTGAAGTTAGGCTTCTACAGGAATCAGGTTAGTGTTGGATATAAAAGTAAGGCACCCTCGTAGGTCTAAGGTACGCTTTTTAGGTTCTGTCCAGTGAGTTAAGCACTATTTTGTGATTCTTGAGAGATAATTGATTACTGACTTGATCGTTGGAATGCCCCCGGATGGACGAATCACCGTCAGATTCTTATCTTTCTGTGTTAGGTTGTTCGGACTTAATCTATTTTGCCGGTGCTCTCCAGCTGAGTTCCTCGTTTGGTAGTGTTTCTCAGTTTGGTTGTGTGATAAAAAATCAACACTCACAATTCTATATAAAGTTATGTGTTTATACTTTTCTCTGTGAATTCTTTAGTATTGTTTAGGGCTCAAACCTAAAATTTAATATCATATATATTTATTTAAGTTATATTTTTGTAGCATGAAAGGTTAAAATTTTCAGATGAGTGTTATTTTTTGTGTGTTATAATTTGATATAACTTAAAATTATTATATATATATTTAGTTAATTTATGTTTATGTGTAATATTTTTATATGTTTATTATTTCGTGTTATCATGTCGTATTATTTTCAATCCATATCTAGTTTGTTTATAATTAGTACAAAAGGTTAAAATTATCAAATGAATGTTTTTTTTTTTTGTGTTTTAATTTAATGTAATTATATATATTTATTTAATTTATATTTTTGTGTTATATTTTTATATTTTTATTATTTCGTGTTATTGTATTGTGTCATTTTCGATACATGTCCGATTCGTGTCGTGCCAACATGTTATGTCAAAATTTTTTACTATTAACTAAAAATATAATAACCAATTTTATATCGACCCTATTTGAAAATTACTATTTTCTATATATTTTCATTGTGTATTAGGTTTTATCATTATCAGATTTTTTTTATATAGTTGATATTTTAATTTAATTATTATGATATTTAAAAAATAATCTCCATATACAAATAAATAAATAAGACATAATGTGTTTAATTATGTACATCGCATAGATTAAGTCAATTTTATTTTATATTTTTATTTTTTGTCTATCTTATTGATGTCTTAATATTAATTTTTTTATTTAACATGAAATTATTTATTACAAAAAATCTTAATATTAATTTATATTTAATTTTTTATTTAATATGAAATTATTTATTACAAAATATTTATATTTAATTTAAATTTTATGTATGAATAATTCAAAAAGAATATTAAAGAAAAATAAATACTCTACGTAATTAATTTATGTATTTTTTTCTTAATCCAATCACAACATATTTGTATTTAATCTTTAAATAAAATTTTTGTAGATCTATATATACATATTTTTATTTTTCAAATAAATATAAAAGTAAAAAATTAAATAATTGGATCACTTTTAGTTTTATATTATTAATTCTTTTTCTAATTTAATTATTATTTTTAATATCAAAATGAGTATTTATTTTACTATTTTATAATTTAATATATATCATATAAAATTATTGTATAATAATTACACTTTTATAGCACAATATAACTAAAATTATTAAAATAAATAAGTAATTTAACTAAATTTATTATACATAAGTATTCAAATAACACTTTTATAGAACGATAAGGTTAAGATTTTTAAAATAAATAATTAAGATTAATATTATTCTTTGTAATATATATCATAATATAATAAACCATGAGTTATAACCAAGTCATAATTTGTATATTATATAATTTTTCATTGTTTTTACTTTTTTTAGGAAAAAAATATTTTGATATAAGTGGAATTCATGATTTTTGATAAAGTTGATTAACACAATTGAGGATTTGATTTTAGGTTGTGAATATATATTTTTTATGGGGCATTTACATACAAATTCTATTTTGTGAATTTATACTCCATTAAGTCCTAAATAAAATCATTTGCTCCTTCAAGTCCCATTAATTTTTAATACCCTAATTTATCCTTCCAATAGTGAATTGTGTTTGGTGAGATCACCTGAGAGATCATCAGATCTGACTGCTCCACCACCTCCTCCTCATCATCTTTGTCGTGCTCGGCTTCAACAGCCGCTTGTGGTGGCGGCGACGATGGAGGTGAAGAGACGGGAGGTGAACCGACATTAGCGGCCCTCAACAACCACCTCCATCGGCAGAAGAGGTGGTAGCTTACAGTTGTGCCTACAGATATGGTGCCTACAGATACGGACTCTGGAAAATCCAAGCCTCTCGACATTAGCGGCCCTCAACAACCACCTCCATCGGCGGAAGAGGTGGATTTGGCGGCGGAGGAGGTGTTCATGGAGTCGGAAATCGAGTCGAAAACTTGCCGCCGATGTCATAACTCGAATCCAAACCATTACAACCAAGATAGCCTCTGCTGAGCTCTTGAAACCCCTTAATTATATCTTCACTCATAAGTATATTAAGGATGAGAATGTCATCATCATTCTCAGAATCCTCCTCTATTTCAGCATATCCGTTGTTGTTATTGTTGTTGTTGTTGTTGTTTTTTTTGGGGGGGTTGACTTTGAGTGTTGTCGTGAGGTACACTTTCGCCTTTTATCAATGGGGTTGATGGAGAGAAACTTGAGGCAATAGAGACTGGTGAGACGAGAGAACCAATTAGGAGATTGAGACAGATTGCACAGAGAGAGAGAGAGAGAGAGAGAGAGAGAGTTTTTTAAAATTGAGAATCTTCTCAGTTTATAATATTCTCAATTTTAATCATGAAAAAATTGAGAAATTTCTCAAAATTGATAATTATAAATTTCTTAGAATATTCGCAGAATTATCTTTTTTTTCAGTCCCATACTTTTCTCAGAAGCCAAACAATTTTTTTTTTTTTTTGATAATTATATACTGAAATCATTCTCTGTTTGAAAATTGAGAATATTCTCAGTTTTGAAATTGAGAATATTATCAGTTTTGGAATTAAAGGGCAAAACGTCTTTTTACCTATAAATGGGACTCAAAAACTTTTTGACAGGACCTAAGCTATCACCAAATATGTAGACAAGACTTTTTGGTAATTAATTCATTTTTTATTATAACTTTGAAAGAAATTATTTTTATGAGCCATTTACATAATATCACACATAATGGCAAAATTTGTTATCAATCATTAATAAATCTATTTTATTTAACTTTCAATGTTAAATTTTTTTACACATGAAATATTACGACTCAAAATTAATTTTTTATTTTAAAAATAAATTTATGTGCATGGCACGAATCATCTACTAACATATATATATAGAAAAAAATAATACTATATGCAATAATTAATATACTAACTAGTATAACAATTGATAATGTGATATAATTTAAGAGATTTTTAATATTTATAATTTGTATAATGAATGGAGTCAATAATAAAAATAATGCTATATGCACCAATTAGTGTACTAACTAGTGATGATGTGACATAATTTAAGAAATTTTTGATATTTGTAATTTATATAATAAGTAGGGTCAATAATAATTAATATACTAATTAATACATATAATATTACCGTAATAATAATATAGCGTGTAATGTATGTTAATTAGTACATTAATTAATTCAAGTAACACCATAAAAAAAACAACAATGCTAGAGGGTCACAATTTTTATGGCCACAATATTTTTTCAAAAAAATATAAAATAACATTATAGTCTTAAATTTTCCACGTGGATCCCACCACCATCCCATTTACAGGAGGTGGTATAATTAACCAAAAATATGATACAGGACAAATGTTTCATTCATCACAGGGACCATATCCGCAGCAGCGAGTGTGGTGGTAGTGAGTGACACACCGTAGTCAAGACAAGCAGAGTGCAAGACCCAACACAACAATGGTGAACTCTATCTCCACCACCACCCCTTCAAACCTCTCTATTATGCTTCCACATCTCAATCCCCAATTCAGACCATCTTCTTTCTCTTCTTCTTCTTCTTCTTCTTCTTCTTCTTCGCTCTCAATTTCAATCTCTATCTCTAAACCCCTTCGACTCGCTCTCTGCCGCGCCGCCAAGCAGCAGAGCGGCCCTGTTAAAAAACCCAAGAAGAAAAAGAAGGTCGGCGGCGGTGGTGGAAGTGATGGTTCGAGCGTTTTGAGGTTGGAGGATGTTGAAATTGAGGACGATGGAGATGGGTTTGGTCCCGATTCGAGAACGGAAGAGATTGAGGGGTCTTCGCAACGCTACCAACCTCTTCCCCTTCCCAATCCCCCTGCTGGCTTCATCGTTGATGACCAAGGAAAAGTTCTCATGGTTTCCAACAAACGAATTGCCATCATTGTAACCCTCTCTCTCTCTCTCTCTATATATATATATATAATACACTTAGTTTTATCTGTGAATAGGTGGTTCTTTGGTGTTTCCTTTCTGTGCTTTGATTGTTTTTCTGTTAGTTTTTGACTTTGAGGGCTGAGATTTTGCTGTTTTTTTTTTTTTTTAATTATTTTAAAAAACACATTTTTGGTAGTATTTGAAAACTTTAGTGAAAACTCAGATATATGATATGTGTATATGTTGTTTTGGTTATTTGGACATTCATGTAGTGAAATTCAGTTTTGAAGAACAAATTTTGTTTTGTTCTAATAAAACAGTAAAACAATTATTTTTTCTTGGAAACTGACAGGAGACAGTTGTAAAATTCCAAAATTCCAGTGTTTCGATGTAAAAACTTACCATGACACTAGCTAGCGGGCCTAAAAGCCCTTCTTTCTAAGCTAAGAATATCGATTCTCACGGTTGGAAAAAGCCAAAGAGGAAGATGTTGGGATCTGGGATCCCGCCCAAGACCTTATAGAAATTATTCCATGCAGAAAAACACACCCACACTCAAGGAGACACAATATTTAACGTGGTTCGGCCTCAATGCCTACGTCCACGGGAGAGTAGCCGGTTATCACTATAACAATAGAGATATTACAGAAAGATTACAATAGAGGAGGAGCTCACACTCTCCTCACTCACCCACTCACCCGTCTCCCTCGCTCACACCGAGGGAGACGGTCTCTCCGCTTCACATATCTCACTCTCTGTGGCTTGCTCTACTCACTCTGTTCTCCTCTCACCCATCTTCATTTATACACTTCAGAATGGTGGATGGAGGGGCTGGCCAGCACATGGCCAGCTTGTGCCAACTCCTTCTTCACATGGCTAAAGGTTGGCTTCCTAACATGGCCAGCTCATGTAGCACATGGAGGATCACCCCTCACATAGGGTGATGATATTCCACAAATCACCCCCTCAACCCATGTGAGGTGATCCACAACACACATTGCTGCTAATCTTGTCACGCCCAAATTCAACATAGTTTGCATCTCCTCACTGAGACGCTGCATCCCTTGAAAGCTAGAGATAATACACCAGAGATACAAGAGGAGGAGGGAATCCTACATCCTCAACTCAACTCACACCACTCTCTGATTTGGAGAGAACCGCTGCTCCTATCTCCCATAGATCTCTTCCACGCTTCCTGTCTCGGATGTCTTCAGCATAGTCTGCATCTCCTCACTGAGATGCTTGCACCCCCTGAAGTTAGAGATAATACACCAGAGATATAAGAGGAGGAGGGAATCCTACATCCTCAACTCAACTCACACCACTCTCTGATTTGGAGAGAGCCTCTGCTCCTATCTTCCACAGATCTCTTCCACGCTTCTGTCTCGGATGTCTATACCTGCTATGCTTGAACTTGCGCAACCAAGATATCCGACACCCCCTGATTGGATGTCCTGCACCCCCTGCTGGGATGCCCTTGACTGTCATGCATTACCGTGCAACTCCTTGCATGATGAACACGGGAGCAACTGGAAAACTTCAGAGTTTGACACATCAACATCCTCAATTTTCCTTGCTCGGAGCTTATTTCTGAACTTTCAGCTTTTGCCCTCTGCACTTCTGAACAACCTCCTGGCATTTCCACATACGCTTGTTGTCTGTGCTGCAATCCCTGATGTTCGGTTCTGTCTTACTTGCACGTCCGTACTGATGTTTGACAGTTAGCCCTTCTGCCAAGACAACTTTCACCGGTCTGTACAAGTTACCACTATGCAACTCCGTGCATAGTGCTCGCACCCATGGCTTCTGGTCTCCCTGCGTCAAGCTTGCTTGAGAGATCTGCATCAACTCTATCATCTGCTGCCATGGAACTCAAGAAACCACCATAGAGAAAAAAGACTTGCCACTCCTTGACGCGCACTCTTGCGTTTTACCTGTCTCAATTTCTCTGTCTGGAAGTTCCTGTGAACTTTCAACAACCCGTTGCTGCATACTCCTCTTGCGCCTCTGTACGATATTCTACCGTACCCTTGCACTGCTGCACGTCTGCATTTGTGCTTCTGCGCTTAGTATGCTCCTCTGCAACTATTGTTCTACACGTCCACGTACCACCAGTACTTCCTCGTATACAGTAGCTCCAACAGCCACAACATTTCCCTGAGCCTGAACTGGTTGCCAAATCATCTATCCGTCGATGAATGGTCTTCTCTTTTGATTGAACCAGATCCTCCAACGAACTCCGGAGATAATCATCTTTGCAATCCTCTGATCACCCCTGACCAATCCTGATCTCCCTTGATTTGCCATTTGATCAAGCCTGATCTCCTCTGGTCTTCAATGATCTATCTCAATCTGTATTTGGTTGTCCAATCTGGTCAGAATCTGCCTATTCTAACCTCTTCAGTGAATCCGCAGCGTTCCACAATATCCAGCAACCTTCCTTCGAGTATTGAAGATGACAAACACCCATGTTTTGACAATCTTTCCAAACCGTTCAGAATTTCACTATTCTTACCTCGCGGTTGCGTCCGGAGCGGTCTGTTTAGCTAGAACCAATCTTTGCTGCATTTTCGGGGACCTCACTGAAAACTATCCCCGAAAATTGGGCCACACCACAATTTTCTGAAAATTCAGGGCCAAATTGCAATTTTCAGAAGTTCAGGGAATATTCCGTGTACCAACAGAATATTCCGTCCACTGCCCCTGATGCCGTTCGTCTCTTTAATCTGCCTTCTTTTTACAGAAACTCCGTCTCCAGAATCTGACCGTACGGATGTGTCCGGAATACTCCAAATAGTCGGAAATCACTATTGGATCACCAAAAACGGACTCCAAATGGCTTAGAACTAGCCAAAACATTTTGTACGCCTCAGATCTGAGGCTGCACCGTAGCCGCGAAGCACTGGATCCTTCTTCCTGCGGCTACACCCTTGCCGCGTAGCACTGGATCCCTCTCTGCCTGTGGTTGACTGGTCAACACCACTGCTGACGTGGCAGACACGTGGCACACCTGTGCTGACGTGGCAATGCTCTATGGACACGTGTCGATGACGTGGCTAGCCACGTGGCGGTGACCTGGCTGATAACGTGGCAACTCTTGCTGACGTGTCGCCACGTGTTGACGACGTGGCACGCTGACGGGGCATGCGCGTGTCTTACACGCGCCTTCCCCCACTCGTCTTCTTCCTTCAGCCGCGCGTGGGGCGCGTGCGTGAGACTGGGCCGACGAGCTGACTCTCTTCACGGCGCGTGGGGGCGTGTGCAACGACTGGGATTCACGCGCCAAATTCCAGAGGCGCGTGAGGGCGCGTCCGGTCTCCGTTGGGTGTCTGCTTTATATTTCTGGACTCCTCTCGTCGAGCCCTTGCTCCTGGTATGCTCAAAATCTGATTTCGAGCAATACGATTTCTGGGCAGTTTCAAACATCGCACTGTTTTTGTTTCGAAACGCCGCCGACGAGGCTCTGATACCAATTGTTGGGATCTGGGATCCCGCCCAAGACCTTATAGAAATTATTCCATGCAGAAAAACACACCCACACTCAAGGAGACACAATATTTAACGTGGTTCGGCCTCAATGCCTACGTCCACGGGAGAGTAGCCGGTTATCATTATAACAATGGAGATATTACAGAAAGATTATAATAGAGGAGGAGCTCACACTCTCCTTACTCACCCACTCACCCGTCTCCCTCACTCTGTTCTCCTCTCACCCATCTTCATTTATACACTTCAGAATGGTGGATGGAGGGGCTGGCCAGCACATGGCCAGCTTGTGCCAACTCCTTCTTCACATGGCTAAAGGTTGGCTTCCTAACATGGCCAGCTCATGTAGCACATGGAGGATCACCCCTCACATGGGGTGATGATATTCCACAGAAGAAGCGCCTTACCTGCCTTCCAGTTCAATCCTGTCTGCCTCTTCACGATTCGACCCATTCATTGAGAGATGTTGGAGCTTTGTCTATTAATAAAAATGCAATTTACTATATTAAAAGGTAGTAATTTACAATATTAATAAAAATAAAGTAAAAATTCAATTGAAATTGGTCAGCACCTATTAGCAACATCTACTTAGAGCTGTTTCTATTTGCCTTATTTTCTTAAAAATTAAAAGATTTGAGAACAAAGAAAAACGTAACATTTATTAAAGAATCTGATAGATGGAGAGGTGAAGATAAAATATACATGGTTAAGTCTCCTCTATCCTAGCATTTCTTATGTTTTATCATACAATTGTGAACTCCCTTCCCCAATTGACCCTCTGCACCTTTTGTTTTTGAGCTTCTATTTGGCACCGACCTTATTAGACCTTGTTCTTAATCTTGTTAATTAAAAATATGAAAAGTTAACATTGGATACCCTTTGATCTTATTTGCCTGAAGGACCGGCCACACCTTGGATACCCTTTGATCTTTATCTACTATTGATAAAGAGAAATGAATTTGGGTAGACGAAAACAAAATTGTAGGCAAATGATTTCTCAATAGCATTTTGTTGATTTGTGAAACATGCGGAGTGCTTCTGGTTGTGAATAAATATTTCTCGTTCACGAACGTGTTAAATGTTGTTTAAGTGCAGTGATATCGTAGTCTTTTTTTTTTTGTATTATTTAATCTCGGTCTTTTCATTTCATTAATTTTAATAATGTTATTGCATTCATGGACAGGTTGATCCTATCAGTAATTTCCCATTAGAGTGCATCATTAGGAGAGTATTTAGAAGTTCACGAGGGGATGAGTGCATGCTGCTCTGCCCTGTTGATACGTAAGTGATGTTGGACCCTCATTATTACACAATATATCCAGACAAAGTTAACATGTTTCTTATTTTTCTGGGGTTACAGCTAATGTTAAGTTTGCTCCTGCAGGCCTGTTCAGATTTTGAAGAGCACAAATGTTGAGGGATGGTCAGCTGTATGTCTTTTGTTTCACTTCTAACTTAAGTAGCTAATTTATTTAGCTCTTGATTTTGAGGATTCCTCTGTATACATTTTTAGATAACAATACATTTTTTAGTTGTTCTGATTAATGAGCGTCATGCTTGAGAGAAGCATTTGCCTTTTTTGTGAATAATTTTCAATGATCAGTAACCAAAACTCTGTTGAGGAAGATTACAGGATATTATTGCATTTCTGTTGGCAACCCTCGTTGAGGCACCATCCAGTTACAATTTAGGATAGTTTATTTTTTCAAGATCTGGTCTCTGTCCTCTGGGCACCAGGCCAAGTTATTTTATTCTCAATTGTGTTGGTTTGAATTGGAGTGGATATTTGTTTTTTGTTAGATGTTAAAATTCCCAGACCAGTATCATTCTGTTTAGAGTTGTTTCCCCATATTGCCAGCAACTGCAAGAGGAGAAAAGGGGACAAATATTAAGTTATAAACTTGGTAATAAGTTGTTATCATATTTTAAAACTAGGTTACAGTTTGTTCTTTTAACATTTGCTCCTGTTATTTGTTTTTTCTTTCTCTTGTTAACATTTTTATTCTTATCCCTCTACATTTTATCCATCATTCTGCAATATAATATTTCTGTGTGTAAAGAAATAAAATTTATCTTTTTCATCTATATCTGCTGTGTAATGTTTAGAATTCAATTAGGACCTCAAATACTGGAAAAGTTTTTGCGAGCCAGCAAACCAATATCTTTTGGTTTCTTCTTTGTCCCTTCTTCTTCTACTCCCATCTCTCATTGATATTTGAAATCATGATAAGCTAGTTTTAAAAATTACATGTTAAATTCTTAGAAAGCAGCTCATCTAAAAGTTTAAGCTTGTAGAGAGTGGTGTAACTTAATTATTTATACCTTAACATGCTTCCTCGTGCGTGGCTAGGTTCCCCACCCTAGTTGGGTCTAATACATGGAAGTATTAATAGGTACACTGTGAGCTATGAACATAGGACCTTTGCCTGCTCTTGTACCATGTTTATTTTGATAAACAATGTAGAAGAATAGAAGAACTAAGAAGAACAAGAAAAAGACTCAAGGAAGAAAGAAAGAATAGAGTAGGGTTTCTCTCTATCTCATAATAATTACTACTTCCTAAAAACATTGATATTAAAAAAATATAATATCCAACATTACTCGTACAGTAGAAATGCACTAAATGATTATCTCGCATGGAACAGTATGTATTTATGTGCTTGAGTTTGGAATCATTCATAAATTAACTAATGTCATATATTTGGGAAAATGGCTCATAGGTTGTCTCTGCCTTATTACTGAAGAAACTAATTTATAATGAATCTGTCATTGACTTAATTGTGTGGGATAAATTTAAACGAAGCAATAATACATGTTTTTGGATAAGGATTGATTAAACTGTACCTGTAACTGAATTGGAAGCAAATAGAACTTCATGCAGCATAAATGACTAACAACAATTTTTTTTTTTTTAATAAAAAAGAAAGAAAATAAAAACATTTAATGTGTGAAATTTGGAAATTTGCTTTCGTGTGTGAGAGGGTTTGATTTGAAAGCGTAAATAAAGAAAGAGTGAAATTTAAAATAAAAACATTAAATGTGTGAAATTTGGAAGTTTGCTTTGGCCTGTGAGAGGGCTTGATTTGTGTAGAAGTGTAGATGAAGAAAGAGTGAAAGTTAAGTTCTTTAAGGTTGGCATCCTAAGGAATTTGTAAAAGCATAGAGATATGGAGAGTTGGATGGCAAATGTATAAAATGAAGGGAGTTGAAGCAATGCAACTACGAATGTCAATAATACGTAAGATGTAATTATTACCATTTTCATGTATTGTTATATATTCTAAATATTTGCCTTGGTCTGCTTCTTTCTCCATGGATATTCTGATTACAGTTATAAGAATGTTTTTGAGATTATCAGGGGGTTGGCCTGGTGGTCTAGGTTTGGGGGCTTGGGAGTGTGCTCCCTCCAAGGTCTCAGGTTCAAAACCTCCTAGGTGTAAACAATCTCTTGGGGTCATGTCTAGATAGGGCAAAGCCCTGGCTTTAATTGGGACCCCTGCAAATGGACGGTGGGTTGGTCCCCCAGATTAGTCTGTCCAAAGGGCCGGATACCAAGTTATAAAAAAAGAAAACAAAAAAAAAATGCTTTTGAGATTATACCATCGATGTTTTGCCTTTCATTGTGGGAGTCTCTCTCTCTCTCACATTTAATTGTTTGTCTTTCCTGTAAAGCTTGACTTCACTTTCCTTATGATCTCGATCTGCATGCAACTGCATTTTAGGTTAGTGATGAAGAAGTTGAAGCTATACTTCCTACTGCAGCGTATGCACTTGCCAAGATTCACATGCATCTGGTACATAGCGGGTATGACAACTGTAATACATGAATTGTAATGAAGATTCTGATTATTCTGTTTCTTTGCTTGCTAAATCACAAACTCATTTTATCTTATTTTCCTCCAGTTATTTGTTATTATTTAGCTCTTTGTTTTTCTTCCAATCAGATTTTGTTATACAGCTCGGGGAGGATTTTGCTACACAGAGGATGACCTATTTGAATTTCGTACAGGTAATGTGTTCATCTTTAACCATTTAAGCTTGTTGGATCATTAAATTAGTTCTGACCTCCTTATTCACGAAACAAAAGACTTTTGCTTTTTTGTAGAAATTTAATGTATAAAGAGAAATGATTGTATTATTAATTGTTGTATGTTATATATTACAAATGGTGATGGGCTCCTTATATAGGAGATATAGTGGAGTAGGTGGTAGTAGGTGGTGGTGGTAGGTGTGTAGTAGGTGGTGGTAGGTGTAATAGGTGGAGTAGGTGATGGTAGGTGTGTAGTAGGTGGTAATAGGTGGTGGTAGGTGTAGTAGGTGGAGTAGGTGATGGTAGGTTTTAACATTTTTTTATGTGGGTACTACTCTTTTTGTATGGCTAGTTTGTCTGGGTAGTTAATGAACATGAATTTTCTTCCATAGCATATAAAATTGTTATTAAATGTGTAATGATGAAGGTTTTTGATGAGTTTTGGGTATTTAAATTTCTAGTTTAGAACATTGTAAACTCAAGATAAGGTTTACTGGACTCTAGTTGAAGCAATTGATTTGGGATTTAGTTCTTATTAAGGCAATACGCCAAGTTCTTAAACTATCATGACATTCACTTGCAACATATTATGTGAAGAGCCTGATGCTTATAATGGTGCTAGGCTGCCCCCCGAGAAGCAATTGTGGTGTTCATGTGCAACATTTTCTGTGAATTCTCATTTCAACCCCTCTCCTCCGTTTCCTGCTGCTCCATTCAACCAACCAAGAAATCCCCAAGCAAAGACACCAAAAATCTCAATCTATCACTGGTTCACTGTACCTCCATTTCACTCAAATAAATAACATCTATGTCTCACCTTATTTTGTCAAATATGTTGCTGTTATTTGAGTGTACAAACAAGGAAACCTGTCTCACAAAAAGAGTGTAGGAGTTCTATGACCTTTTGTTTGGGATAATTTATTTTTTGATTGGCAACAAAGAAAATCATATTAAGAAAATAAAAAAGAGATACAAGAGGAAATGGAGGACACATAGTCTACCAAAAATATGAAGACTGGCACCCCAAAAAAAAAAAAAAAAAAATCCCCTTAAAAGGGGAGAAATTGAAGCCCAAACCCTCTTAAAAGTAGTAGGAGTTGTTGCAGATTGTTTCAATCCTTCCCCTTCAAACCATTCAGTCTTCCTTCTACTTTCCTCCTACTTTTTTTTGATAAATAAGAGGTAACTGTATTAGAAAAAGAGCATCAAGAAGATGTTAACAAATATAGCCAAGGCCAACAGAATTATATCTAGACAAATAAAGAATCAACAAAATCTAGAAAAGAAAATAAATCTGGCTCCACTCTCCCTGACACCCAACTCGACAAGACCAACATAAACTTATTCTTCAAACACGGCACTGAAACTTGTAACCTGTGAAACGTCTGTCAATTTCGCTCCAGCCAAACCAACCACATTATACACAAAGGTGCAAGGACCCAAGCCTTGTGACGCCTCTTCCCCACCCAATCCCTTCTCTAGGTACACAACACCTCCCTCACTGTCCCTTGCTGCCCCCAATCCAACCCAAAACACTACAAAAATCAAACTCCAAAGCTGGTAAGCCATCGGGCACATAAGCGGAAGATGAAAAACAAACTTTGCATCCCGACAACACATGCAACACCAATTAGCCGAAATCTGACTGCGACAAATCAAGTTATCCAAAGTCAAAATCCTATTATGCACAGCCGTCTAAATAAAAAAAAAACTTTGGAAGGAACACCAACAATCCACACACTCCGCCAAGGGAAAGAAACATTCAAAAGACCCACCTGTGCCTGATAAAAAGAAGACACTGAGAAAATCACTCTAGCACCCTTACAACTCCACACCAACACATCCTCCCCCACCCCAACCCCTCAAGTACCATACAATAAAGCCAACAAATCCACCAATTGGGCAACATCCCAATCACAAACTTGCCTGTGAATCCTAACATCCCACACTGCCATTCACTTGCACACATTTTGTACCAGAGCTGGATAACCTATTCAGTGTAGTGTTGAAATTTACTGTCTCCAAGAGCTTAAGCTCTTAGAGCAGTTGACTGTTAATATGGACAAAAGGATGATTTTCAGTCTTCTTTAATGTATTCTATCTTATGGCCTTGCATTGACTACCTAGATAGTAGATAGGATGCTGTTAGTCTAAATTGGTTTGTCAGCGGAAGGATGATTGGAGACATTGTTTGAGAGATTTCTTTTCTCACATTTTGACTCTAGTTTGAACAAAAAAGTTGCCACATATTTCATATCCAAGCGTTTCTTACGGGCTTTGACACTTTTTTTGGTTCCCTCGGGCTGCTCTCTTATGTGACATATTGCAAGTTTGTTAACAAAGCGTGTTTACTCTTCTGCAGATGATGGTGAAGATGTTGATGGCTTGCCAACTGAAGGCATAGAAATTACATGCTTCCATTTGGTAATGTTTTAGAAATCTATTCTATTCTATGAATGGATCATGTTGTTGTTGCAACATATTTTGGGCAGTATTAATGATGTAAGGAAATTACTTTTGTGTTGCTCCCCATTTTCAAGGGTGTTGGGAGGGTTGGATTAATACACACCTAGCCTTCGGAACTATTGCTGCACATTCTGACTTGAATATGCATTGTTAAGCTTGGAGGCCTGAGCTTTTTTACCTTTTCACCATTAAATGTCTGTGTGATTGAGAAAACCTTGTTTCATGTATTATCTGTCAAGGGTGATCTAGAAAATATACAATGTGTTGCACTTATTTAACCCTTTAATCTTACACAATCATGTTTTGCATCTACTGAAGTAAAGTGTCTTATAATGCTTCTATGCTTCATGGCTGATATGGTGTGGTTCTCTTATTGAACATTGATAAATACTGCATATATATCTCTGTTTTAGTTTCCTTGCACTTTTTGTTAATATATTCATCTATGGAGTTCTGGTTATGCTATCAATTCAGATTTTACCTTTGCACCATAAAATCTGGTCCCTCTTCCCTTTTCCCATCATCTTCCCTCTACCTCTTCCTCTTCCTCTTAACTTTACAACTCCCCCACCGTTGGCCACCCCTTGCTGGTCACCACAGCAAGTCCCTATCTGCCATCCGCGATCCCTCCCCCAACCCCACTCCCCCCTACCCAAAAAAATTAAAAATAAAATTAAACAATGTAAAAAAGAACAAGAAAAAATGTAAACATTGTTTTAAATTTTTTTTTAATGTAGAACTTTTACACAAGCATTTTTTAAATTTTGAATCAGGATAATATTTACTAAACCCCATCATAGTGGGGAAGAATTTGTTCAGCAAGAGACATACAGTTCTGTTAGTTTAAAAACTTTGGGTTATAGGCATCAATGTTGTGCATTACATTTTGCCCATATCCAAATAGCTGTAACCGTTGATTTTTATGCAGCTTTTGCTACTTTGTCATTGTGACATTGTTGTGCCAGTCTCCTGTTTGTTACTTATGCTGATGAAAAATTACATTCTGATCTTTGTTTCTAGTGCCTTCTAATCTTGAAAGAATTCCATGCAGGATGGAGGCCATTACATGATTTACACACCATCTGACCCACTTCTTTTTGTTGCTGTGAAGGTAAACAACTAGCTTTCCTCTGCACAAGGAAACTAGTGTTGCTGCTTTTGAAAAGCAACTGCACTTTGCTTTTCTTATTAGTTCTATTGTACAAAGGCCTTGTGAACTGTTTTGCAAATTACTCTTACCCAGAAGAACTTGATTTTGAACTTCATACTCTTGTATTTGAGGTGGAACCAGAACTTATGTAACTTCTTTTTTATTTTTTTTCTTAAAACTTCTTCTAATGCAGGATCAGAATGGTCAGTTGCAAATTGTGGATGATGTAAGCAATCCCGATGCCATAGTTGATATTGTTTAACTATTATCCATGCTTATTCTCTATACTAAATGATGGATTGATTTAATATAAATTGTGCCCACTTGCTCAGAGATCATTGTTTTATACCCTGTTTATATATATATATATATATAAATTTTACTGCTGTCATACTACACTAATCCATAAATCTCTTCATATCAAACAATAAGATCTGCTTACCTTTCCCTGCCCCGGAACAGTATTTTTGCAATTGTATTCAATGATACAGTAGTTAGTGAGTATTTTCTTTGAGTAGCATCCCCCTTTGTGCTTCCTTTTCTATGGTTAGTTATATGTATATTGGCATTATTAACGTTCTTGGGAATTAGATATCCTTAAATTTAAGATTACTGATTTATCCATGAATGAGGTTATATAATTAAGAGAAGCAAAAGATATTGAAGAAAAGTTGCAAGTTCTGACGTGCCAAATTTTGCACAAGAATCAGAATTAGATCTGCAATGTGATGTTACTATGATGGCTTTATATGGATCTTATAGGCTGAATTGCTGGAAACTTCATCTGAAGATTGGGTAGTTTTCTTTGTTTATTAGGTTTATGAATAATGATAGTGGCTTAAGGAGTGAATGGTTGATTAAGAGAGTTTCATGCATTATGAAAAATGGATATATAAATAAATTTACTGCAGTGAATCGTGAATCGTGAATCGTAGTGAATGATAGTGAATTGCACGATTCACTCATTTTTTTTGATTCAACAGCACAATTCAAATCATTTTGGCTGAAACTTATATCAAATCATGATTGGCACGATTCTAACAACCATGCATATATCTGCCTCTTTCATGCTCTTTGGTTTTGAATGCTTTTTGTGTTTTTTCCTTTCCTGTCTTCTTCCGTCTGAAAGCATACTGTATTCACCTATGTAACAACTTCATATTGAAATGATTACTTAAGATGATGTTATTGTATTTATTCTTCTATCATAATTTATTTGTTATACTACTGAATCTTCATGTAGGATGTCCGTTTTTCCTTAAGAACTCTCAAATGATAGTTTGAGATGAAAAGCTTACAAGTTCATAAACTGTTGTAAATTACAGTAACTTTAGTATTCTTTTGACTTTTGCTATACATGATATATATGTTATTATTGAGTGTACAGTCTAATTCATTTATTATTTTATGATTCCCTTTTTTTCTCGAAATATCAAAGTTGGGGAAAATTATTCTTTCAAATGTATCATCCAATCGATCTATGCTTGGAAAATGGAAACAGGATCTCTTGGAGGACCCTGCTGTAATAAGCGCCATAGACGAGGAGACGGAATTTAATGCCTTGGTGGTATGTAATTGCTCTTTGCACCCCCTATTTATTGATTGGAGCTGACTGATTTTTCTCACATTTATTGTATATGTTTATTTATACATTTGCAGGAAGAAGAGGCTGCTCTTCTTGAATCATTATTAGGGAAAAGATAATCAGGTTGCTGGTTGGATCTGCCAATTCATCCCCCTCATTTTTGTGCTAATATTTGTTCTGTTAAGGAATGAAGCAGTGCAGATTCATGTTTTGCATGAATCTTTCCATCTTGCATGCTATTGCTGGCTGTGTGCGTGTGCGAGAGAGAGAGAGAGAGAGAGATGCTACTGATTGATGCATGATGAAGATGCAAGACTACTGGCCTATTTGGTGCAACTTAGAGCATCTCTAACGCTTATGCAAATTATTATTATTTTTTTATATCAAATTTGAGTAAAAGTTTGATTTGAAATGATGTGCTTCAATCGTTTTATCAAATCTGGCTAATCATTCGGCCCAGTGTAAATTTTCATCAAATCTTTCCCAATTTGGTTGTCCACCCGGTTATTCGGCTGGTTATCCACCTGATCGTTCACAAGTGGTCACTTACGAGATTTAATAAAAGATTAAACGCTTCTTTAATTTGATAAAAAAAAGTATGCCTCCCTTCACTTGTGATACCAATTTGGTAAAATGGTTGGAATATTATTTTTACTAAATTTTTATCAAATTTAAATTTGATAAAAGATGTGAGTTTGGATTGAAAATGGTCTTATAGGGTTTGCTTATAGTTTTTATTTTTACTTGTACTTTTTATTTTATTTTATTGTTTTGGAATTTGTTCTAGTATATTTGGTGTAATTTTTGTTATACAATTTATTAGATAAAAATAATTTAAATAATTATTTATTAGAAAGTTGGAGGAGGAATAGTTTTAGTTGGTGCTTAATTATCAATTTTCAACCCGCAAAATTTACACCGAATAGGCTTAAGTCAATTATTGATACTTGGAATGAATGATCCGTGTTCCAGACAAGCACGAACAATTGGAAAGTTAGAAGCAAGGATGAGAATGATAGTGCAACTTTCCATTGAGAATTAACAATAATAATCAGAAGGCTATGAAGTCTCTTGTAGAGCTACCAGTGCAAATGCAGAGAGTCAGAAGTTGTACTGGTTGAAAGCGAACTAACTTGAGTGGTGCAATAGTTTGCTTAATCTTGATTTTGAAAACTTACTTAAATTTGATTTATTTATCTTTTATGGTAATTTCAAATGAATTTTAATTGAGTCGAACAAGAGTTAGGCATGACATTTTTTTGTAAAATTCTTACAATCGAGTTGGGATAAGTAATAGCTTGGTTATTTAAATTTGAATTAAAAACTTAACAAATTTTATAATATATTTAAGTTTGATTTATTTATGTAATATATCGATTTCAGGCAATGAAATAATTCAAATAATTTGTTTTGTTCTATAAGCCAACTAATCAAAAAAATTCTTGGTTTGCCACACTACTAATTAGTAAGAAACTTTTGTTTGCGAATCATGAAATTTGTAATAAATGAATTTTTTCGAATATTAAAAAAACTGTATAAAGCCTAATTTGATTGTTAATATTTAAATAATTAATTTTTGTTAATTAATACCAAATAAATAAATAAATAAAAAATGGATGTAAACTGAGAAGGTGCAATGGCCGTCTTCCTCCAATAATTGGATGTAAACTGAGAAAGTGCAATGGCTGTCTTCCTCCGGGCCTCGCATCTCAACAGATTCAACTCTACATAGTTTTTTTTATACCCACACCACAATGCGAATCATGAAATTTGTAATAAATGAATTTTTTCGAATATTAAAAAAACTGTATAAAGCCTAATTTGATTGTTAATATTTAAATAATTAATTTTTGTTAATTAATACCAAATAAATAAATAAATAAAAAATGGATGTAAACTGAGAAGGTGCAATGGCCGTCTTCCTCCGGGCCTCGCATCTCAACAGATTCAATTCTACACAGTTATTTTTATACCCACACCACAAGACTCTCTCTCTCTCTCTCTCTCTCTCTCCATTTCTAGGGTTAGGGTTCTAAACACCCTTCTGAAAGACAACAAAAAAAAAGAAAAGAAAAAGAAGAAGCCTGGAATTGTAGCATGAGATGAGAGCTACTCATCCATAGTAGTCGCAGACAATTGAACAATGACAAGTCAAAATCTCTATCATCTTCTATTCCTCTATCTCCTCTTGATCACTCACTTGACCACCTTAGTCTCTTCCTGGAAAAGAGACGAGTTCAGGAACTGCAATCAAACCCCATTCTGCAAGCGAGCTCGATCCCGCGAACCCGGTTCCTCCTCCCTCATCGCCTCCCATGTCTCCATCCTCGACGGCGATCTCACCGCCAAGCTCATCCTCAAAGACCCACAAACTGAAGACCCAATCAACCCGTTGATTCTTACTCTTTCTGCTTACCAAGATGGTATTTTGAGGCTCAAGATCGACGAAGACCCAAGTCTTGATCCCCCCAAAATACGCTTCCAAGTCCCCGATGTGATCCTTCCTGAGTTCTTGACCACGAAGCTCTGGTTGCAGAGGGTTTCCGAGGAGATCGGCGATTCGGGTCCTTCCTCGGTTGTTTATTTGTCAGATGGGTACGAGGCTGTTCTTAAGCACGACCCGTTTGAGATCTATGTAAGAGAGGATGGAGGTAAGGTCGTAGTCTCGTTGAATTCACATGGGTTGTTTGATTTTGAGCAATTGAGGGTGAAAAAAGAAGAGGAAGATTGGGAAGAGAGGTTTAAAGGGCACACTGATACGAGGCCTTATGGTCCTCAATCAATTAGCTTTGATGTATCGTTTTATGGTGCTGATTTTGTTTACGGTATTCCTGAACATGCCACTAGTCTTGCTCTGAAACCTACTAGAGGACCTGGGGTTGAAGAATCTGAACCTTATAGGCTATTCAATTTGGATGTGTTTGAGTATTTACATGAATCACCATTTGGGATTTATGGGTCCATTCCTTTCATGATTGCCCATGGTAAAGCTCGGGAGGGATAAATGACAAAATATACTTCAGTAAAGCAAACAATTATATTTTGTTGTAGCTTCATTGTGTAATGCCGAGTCCTCAATTGTGCTGCCTTCGGATCAAAACCGGATCGATACTCTGTGGATGTCTGAGGCTGGTGTTGTTGATGCATTCTTTTTTGTGGGTCCTGGGCCAAAAGATGTTGTTAGGCAGTATACTAGTGTGACGGGAACTCCAGCAATGCCACAGCTTTTTGCCACGGCTTATCATCAGTGTAGATGGAATTACAGGGATGAGGAGGATGTTGAGCAAGTTGATTCAAAATTTGATGAACATGATATCCCATATGATGTTTTGTGGCTTGATATCGAGCACACAGATGGGAAGAAATATTTCACATGGGATAGGATGCACTTCCCTAACCCCGAAGAGATGCAGAAGAAGTTGGCTGCAAAGGGTAGGCACATGGTTACTATTGTGGACCCTCATATTAAGAGGGATGAGTCCTTCCATTTGCACAAGGAGGCTACCCAGAAGGGTTATTATGTTAAGGATGCAAGTGGCAGGGATTATGATGGGTGGTGTTGGCCTGGATCTTCATCGTACCCAGATATGTTAAACCCAGAGATCAGGTCATGGTGGGCTGAGAAGTTCTCATATGAGAATTATGTCGGTTCAACTCCCTCCTTGTACATCTGGAATGACATGAATGAACCTTCAGTTTTTAATGGTCCAGAGGTATGTTACTTGGTTTTGGTTGTGTTTCTTTCTTGTGCTTCTGTCTTTTTTAGTGGCCATGCCATGTGGGCGCATGTAGTTTTGTACTGTGTTCTAAATAATACTCCTGAGATTGTCAAACCTTCATTTGGAATGATTATTTACACATAATACAAAAGGATAAGTAATACTAATGTTTAGTAGCAGTATGCCAACATTTATATGCTGCGCATTGCAGCATGAGACCACTATATGCAGATGCTCCAGTTGGTTATAGACTGGATTTGCCAATTCTTTAATGCAGTTTTACATGGTTCTTAATCTTAACATTGTTTATGATTTCATGTGCTGCATAAATTTCCTCCAATGATGTTTATCAAAAAATTTTTTTGTTCCAATGATAACTAATTGGGGGAAATCACACACTTATGAAGCACGGGTGTGGATACGGATATTGGTACGGCTAGGTGACAGGTATGCTGATACAACAAAACTTAAAGAAAAAAAGATACGGATACGGTTGGGATACGTCAATTTTTTATTTTTATTTTTTACAATTTATAGTTTGACGTTCAATTTACAAATCAAAGTTTAATACCAAAATTAAAAGGAGAAATTACAAAACTAAAAGAGAAATCATAGTTCAACAATATTCATATCAAAGCAAAGTCTATAAGTTATTTTAATGCCATTGAATAGGAGAAATTACAAAATAAAGTTTCATTCCAAAAGCAAAGCTAAGCCAAATTTGAAAACTTAAAATTTCAATTTTCACTTCCATCAATTTCATCATTGAATAATACGTCTTTCATCTTCGGCACATTAGGTAAAGGATTTGCAATTTCAAGTAAATCAGAATTCTAATAAATTAAGTGTATATATATCTACCAATGTCCAATACCTTGGTATACTCTCGATATACCCATTCTGTATCCATGAAGTACCCATAGAGGATCCAACTATCAAAGAATGTATAAAAAGTACCCGGCATTTTTTTTCGAGTATCTGGTACGCATGCAACCCTATCGGTACGAGTACCAATACCCAGTACGAGTACAGCAACATTTTTTGAATATCCGTGCTTCATAGTCACACACACACACACACTCAAAAAAAAAAAAAAAAAAAACCCAAGGTTTGACCCTCGTAAAAAATTAAAACCTGAGTTTTTAGATGGTTTGACCCTCGTAAAAAATTAAAACCTGAGTTTTTAGATTTTTCATAATAAATCGTGAACTTTTAAATTAGGCACTCTAGCTGTGAGTAAGTAAGTTGTGATGATTGTGGAGGAGGGAAGAAGACATGAAGTAGAAAAAATAGTGGAGAAAGAGAGGGATAAATGACAAAATATACTTCAGTAAAGCAAACAATTATATTTTGTTGTAGCTTCATTGTGTCATTTGTAGTCAATCATGCGATTTGATTTTAGATATGATTGGAGTTGTGTGATCGAGGTATTAGTTTAACCCTATGAATCATGGGTACTTCGAAAAACATGCCGTATTCGTACCGAGTACTTACTGGCGTATGGTACCTCGTATGGTACCTCTGCACATACTTACCGGGTACATGAAACACGTATTAAAATTTTTTCTTCTTAATTTTTGGCGTACCCAGATGTACCTATCATATACCCAAGGCGTACCGTACCTCAATTGAAATAATATTTTCTTCCACTACAAAAATAAAACTCCTCTCACTTAGATTTCTTTTTAATTTT